ACCTGGTTTCGGCGCGCAGCAGCTGTGCAGACACCTGAGCAGTGCGCACAGAGCGCATCCGCTGCTCTTTTTGTCACACCTTATTTTTTTTCACTTTTTCCCCGACTCGCGGCCACTCTTCTGTGGGGCAGTGGCTCTCGAGCTAATGCAGAAGTTTTCTCGATAAAATGGGGAACTCTTATCGAGAAAATGCGGAAGTTTCCTCTTTTCTCCGGTGTACGTACACCGCCGCAGCCCGCACCGGGCGGCGCAGCTGGACAATGTGAAATTCAGAAATCCTTTTCGTGACTCTCTTTGGCCAGGGCCGTTTTCCTGGGCCCCAGTAACTCTCTCCTTCTTTATTTTCTGTGTTCTTTTACTTATTTAATCCGTAAATATTCGAGAGTATCCACCAGGGGCCCCAACAGCGGCTTCTCCAGCTGTAGAGCCCAGCACGGGGGGCCCCCTGGGGCCCCCGCTGCCTCAGCTGCTCGCTGCGGGCCTCACGCTGCTGCTTGCGGCTGCCCCTTTATCTGTTCCTTTTCCTTTTTTATATTTGGGTAAAATGTCTTTGCTTATTTATTAAGACTGCACGATACTTCGTGCAGAACTCCCCTGCTGCGCAGAGGCCAGCGCCGTCGCCCGCGAGGCCCTGTGGGCCCCAAGGGGGTGTCGAGGCTTCTGCTGCTGCAGCGCACAGCAGGGGCTACACAGCAGCAGCGGGCGCAGCAGCAGCAGTAGCTTGAGCTGCAGCCCTGGTGGAGTTGCTGTAGCAGCTCCTGCTGCAGCAACAACTGCAGCTCCTGCTGCAGCTGCTGCTGCTGCCGGACTTAGAGGCCGCTGTGGCCCTGCGAAGCTGCTCTTTCTCCTTCTTGTTGCAGAGTCCCCTATTTCTGTCTTAGCTGCACTTTCCACGTTTTCCGCAGCTGCGCAGCCATGGAGCAGCAGCAGGCGGACTGCAGCACAGCTGCGAGCTGCTGCAGCACCCCGGCAGCAGCAGCAGCAGAGGCCTCTAGGGCCTCCGCTTTGCCCTCTTTCCTCCGGCGGATGCTGCCGGACTTTCTGAGCGACAACCCTTACTTCTGCGCCGGCTTTGGCCTTGCAGGCCTGGGTCAGCCCGCTGCTGTTGCTGCTGCCACAGATGCTGCCGCTGCTGCAGTTGTTGCTGCTGCTGTTGCTGCACCTGTAGATCCTGCTGCAGACGTAGCTGCTGCTGGTGTCGCTGTCGCTGTTGCTGTTGCTGGATCTCCCGCGCTGCTTTTGCCTCGCAGTTTGTGGATAACGAGAGACCGCTGCTGCTGCTGCTGCTTGTGCTGCTGCTGCTGCTGCAGGTGCTGCTGCCTCCCTCACCCGTGGGGCCGTGCGCGCGGCCAAGGCTTTCGCCCGCCGCCGTTTGCTAACTTCTTTGGAGGTCCCCATAAGAGACCCTGCCTACCCTTGGGTCATGCAGTGGCTTGTTGCGAAGTACGCGAGTTGCAAGCTGCTGCTGCTGCTACGTCTGCTGCTGCTGCGTCTGCTGCTGCTACCCCTGCTGCTGCTGCGCGTCACGCTGCTGCTTTTGCTGCTGCGCCTGCTGCACTTAGTCCTCCCGCTGCAGGCCGAGCAACGCACATCAAGCTGGGTCATCTCTACGCAGTCAGGCGAAGGCAGCAGCAGCCGCAACGGCAGCAGCAGCAGCAGCAGCAGCAGCTTGATGTGTGTGAGTTCAGAGGGAAGTGCTCGCTGCACCTGGGAGTGGAGACAACATACGGCAAGGACGCTGCGGGGAACGTCGAGGCCGTTTTCAACTTCGTCCCGAGTCCAGGTGCTTCACAAAGGCTGCTGCTGCTGCTCCTGTTGTTGCTGCTGCTGCTGCTGCTGCTGTTTGTTTCAAGCCTTTCAGTGTGCGGGCTACACCCTTCCTCAGTGATTAGTTCTAGCGATGGCTGGCTAGCTGCCCGCAGGGCCACGTGGCTAGCCACGAGCAAGCTACCGAGCTGCCAGTGCCCCTGCCTAGCTAACTAGCTAGCTAGCCAGTGAGCGCTGTAGCTAGCTAGCCACCTATATAGCCAGCTAGCTATCTAACTAAATGGCTAGCTAGCTACCTAGCTAGCTATCCAACTTCCTAGCTAGCTGACTTACTAAGTAACCAGCTAGCTCACTACCTGCCTAGCTAGCCAACCAGCTACCCACCTAGCTAGCTAGCTAGCTACCCACGTACCTGCCTACCCACGTACCTAGCTAGCTACCTACCTACCTAGCTACCTAGCTTGCTGCCAATCTAGCCGTGTATCTAGCTAGCTAGCTGGCTAGCCGGCTACCTATTCCGCTAGCTGGCTGGCTATGTAGCTGGCTAGCCAGCTAGCTAGCAATCTAGCTAGCTAGCTAGCTGCGGCGTTGCGGGTGCGTGCGGGGGCCAGGGCAGCACTTGTTGCGGTACAAGGGGGCGCTGCTGCTGATAGACCGGCAGCGCTCTGGAGAGGTGGTGGACTTCAGCTCCGGCTCTCCCTGGGAGACTCTGACGCTCACCACGCTTTCCCTCTACAGAGGCCGCATCACCGAACTCGTGAGTGGCTAGCCAGCTAGCTAGCCAGCCAGCTAGCTAAGAAGCCATCCAGCTAACTAACCAGCCAGCTAGCTAGCCGGCCAGCTAGCTAAGGAGCCAGCTAGGTAGCTAGCTACCTAGCTAGCTAAGTTGCCAGCTGCTTCTAGCTAGCGAGCCAGCTAGCTAATGAGCCAGCTAACCAGCTAGCCAAAGAGCCAGCTAGCTAGTGCGCCAGCTAGGCAGCTAGCTAGCGAACTAGCGAGTGAGGCAACTGGCCAGCTAGCTAGTAGGCCAGCTATCCAGCTAGTTAGTGGGCCGGCTAGCCAGCTAGCGAGCGAAATTGCTGGATAAATAGCTCGCTATACTCGTGCGCATGGCTCGTCGTGGCTGCTGTCTGAGGTGTACGTACACCCCAAATGAATGTGCACCACACCTGGGCGTTTGCTGCTGCAGCTAAACGAAGCAAGAGAAGCAGCCCTGCAGCGGGAAGAGGGGCGCACAATCATTTACAGAAGGTGAGTTGGCAGCTGCTGCTGCTGCTTTTGCGGTGTTTGCGTGCTGCTGCGACTCGAAGCAACGTTTCTGCCGTACCTCCTGCTGCCTTTACAGCTACTGCTGCTGCTGCCCTGCGCAGTGCCTCCCCTGAAAGTGCTGCGGTTAAAGCTCCTTGAGGGTGCGGCTTCATGCTGCTGCTGCTGCTGCTGCTGCTGGTCTGGCTGCGGCGGTTTGGTGCAGCACTGGCCAGGAGTGGAGGAAGTACGGGGAGCCAAAGAAGCTGCGGCCCTTCGAGTCTGTGGTGCTTGCAGGCAAGTTGTGAAGAGTCTTGAGTATATTTGCTGCTCTGTTGCTGCCGTTGCTGCTGCTGCTGCTGCTGCTACTTCCGCTGTCTCTCTCTGTTTCCTGCAGTGTCCATCTCTCGGGGGGCTCCTCTCCGGGTCTTCCTGGGTTTTGTCTCCAGGCTGCAGCGCGTGCTGCTGGCGCTACTGCTGCTGCCGCTGCTGCTGCGCTGCTGGTGCAACTGCAGAAGGCGTGGCTGAGAGCACCTCAGCGGACGTGCGCCCCGTCGTGGCCTTTCCTCAGCTGCTGCTGCGCTATTGCTGCTGCTGCTGCTGCTGCTGCAGAAGGCGTGGCTGAGAGCATCTTGGCGGACGTGCGCCGCTTCCTGGCCTCTTCTCAGTGGTACCTACAAAGAGGCATTCCTTACCGCCGGGGCTATTTGCTGCACGGGCCCCCCGGCTGCGGCAAAAGCAGTTTTGTGTTGGCCTTGGCTGGGGAGTTGAAGTACAGCATTTGTGTCCTCAACGTCGCGGACCCCCACTTGACCGACGACAGGCTCCAGTACCTCCTCGCGTCAGTCGCTGCCGCTGCTGCTGCTGCTGCTGGAGCTGTGGCGCTGCTGCAGTGGCAGCAGCGACAACGCCGCAGCAGCAGCAGTGGTGCGCCTGTCGCTCCGTCTGCTGCTGCGAGCTGCACGGAGTGATGTTGCTACTGCTTGTGGGGCGCGGGCATTTGATAGCAAAAAGCTGCGGAGATCAGCAGGGTTCGCTGCAGGCGGGTGGAGAGGCTCTGCAGCAGCAGCAGCAGCAGCAGCAGCAGCGCAGAAGACTTCAACTGGGCTGCTGCGCTGAGAATTCTGCTGCCTGCCTGTGTGTGCAGGACAGTTCCCCCGCGCTCACTGCTGCTGCTGGAGGACATCGATGGAGCCATTCGTCGCTCCGAGGCAGCAGACGGAAAGGCTGGTGCAGCAGCAGCAGCAGATCGACCTTCCCTCACGCAGCTCTCTTTAAATCCTTTCGGGACAAGAAGCATCACTTTCAGTGGACTCCTAAACGCGCTTGACGGCGTACGTGGGCCGCAGCTGCTGCTGCTGCTGCTGCTTCTGCTGTTGCTGGCGTGGATTGCATATAGCAGCTGGGACAGGGAAGTGTCTTAAAAGCTGCTGCTGCTGCTGCTACTGCTCTGTGTGCCAGGTGGTGGCAACGGAAGAACGCATTATATTCCTGACTACAAACCACCCGGAAAGGTGACACAGCCTCTTTGCTTTGCTACTGTCGTTGCTGCTGTGGGGCCCCGCACATGCGAAGCAGCGAGCTGCTGCTGCCTCTGTGGTTGCTACCTCCGTGGCTGCTGCCTTTCCAAATTCTGTGGCTGCGCAGCTGCTGGCTGCTGCAGCGCTGCTTCCGGATTTGCTTTTTCCCTGTTTCTTGTCGCCTTTTGTCTCTGCTTCTGTTTATGTTTTAAGCCTTTCTAAGTTTGTTTTAAAGGGAAGATTGCTGTACTTTCTTTTCCCTTTAATATGCCTTTCTGTGTGGCTGTCTTTGCTGCCCCGCAATCTTTAGGGCTTGAGGGTCTTCGCCGGATTTTGGACTTTCTCGGGTCTTAGCCTCAAATGTGGCATTTTGCTGCTTGTGTCTGTTTGCTTTCCCTGCTTCTGTTTTTTGTTATCATTTTTGCTTCCTTTGACTCGCTTCCTGTGCCCAGCCTCTCTCCGAGACTTGCGATTAGCTGCTGCTGCTAGCTGCTGCTGCTAGCTGCTGGTGCTTGTTGCTGCTGCAGGCTGCCCAGCTCCCTCATCCGTCCCGGGCGCGTCGACCTGAAGGTCCGCGTGGGCTTCGCCACGCCGGACCAGCTCAGGCGCCAGGTGAGGCTGCTTCTGGCCTGGGTCCTGAGGCGCAGCAGCAGCAGCAGCAGCAGCAGCGGCGGGCAAGAGGGCTCTGCAGGCAGAGAGAAAAGCTCTGCAGGCAGAGAGAAAAGCCACTGAAGGCCTCTGCGCTGCTTTGTCTGCAGTTCTTCCGCTTTCTTCCGGATGCCACGGCCGAGACTGCAGAGGAATTTGTTTCTTTGTTATCTCCCCTGCAAATCAGTAAGCGCCATTTTTGCTGCTGCTTCAAATTCTTCTGAGTATCTGCTGCGGCTGCTGCGCCATAGTTAATAATGCCGCAGGGCTTTTCCAGGGCCTGCTCGACGGAAGTCTTTGGTGCTGCAGCACGAAGCTGGTTTGCTGCTCTGCTGGCTGGCAATTTTTTTCCCTTTTTCCCTTTTAGCGCAGAAGGCAACACAGATAGCTAGCTGCTTTGTTGCTGCTGTCATGGTGACTGAGTGCCTTGTTTTGCTGCCACACAGAGGGTTGGGCTAACTCTACTGTGCCGCTTGTGCTGCTGTTGCTGCCGCAGGCATGGCGGAGCTCCAGGGCTTCTTTTTATTCTGTAGAGACGACAGCCGCCAGGCCCTCGAAATGGCCAAAGCCTGGAGAGAGGCGGACCAGCAAGTTGTGCAGGAAATGCAGCTCAAGCAGCAAAGGGAAATGCAGCAGAAAGAAGAGCAGCAGCAACAGCAGCAAAGCAGCCCCCAACACCAAGAGCGGCCGCAGGCGGCGCAGCCGCAGCAGCAAGGAAGTTCGCCAAAGAAGGCCAGCTAATAATATAGTTGCTGCTGCGATTCTCTCTCAAAAGGCCTTTTCTTTTCTAGCTTTCTACTTATGTAGCCCACGGATTTGCCTGGCTATCCACAGCGAGCTAGGCGGCTCGCTGTGGCTAGCCAGCCCAGTGGCGTGGCCTTACTTGGCTAGCTAGCTAGCGACTAGCTAGCCAAGAAGGGCATTGTCTAGCTAAGAAGCTATCAATTTTGAAACAGCTTTCCTTAGACGCCATGGAGCAGCGGCTCTAGGGGCCTTTCCGTGCGCGGAAACCGTTACTGCTGCTGCAGTGCAAAATAGTGGGAGCAGCAGCAGCAGCGGCTGCCTCTCTAATTTTGCTGCTGTTGCTGCTTGGAGGCCACGGAGAAACCCCAGGTAGCGGGCAATTTCATCTTTATTTCCCTTTTTATTTTATTTTTCGAAGTTCTTTTTCGAGACTGGAGATGAATTAGTTCTCTATTGCCCTGCCAAGGCACTACAGCCTTTCATCGTGATGATTTTATTTGAAGGCAGCCCAGCAGCAGCAGCAGCTTCCCTAGGGAAACTGCTGCTGCTCAAATCTCTTTCGCTTGCTCTCTTTGCTGCTGCGTCGCCTCCTGCTGCACCCCTGCGGCCCCCGAATCTGCTCGTTGCTGCAGTGTTGCTCAGGCCTCACCAGAACCCAGAACGGCGGGACCAGCAACTGGGGCAACCGCTGCAGCAGCGTAGCAGCAGAGTAGAGACTAGCAGCAGCAGCGAGCAGAATCAGAAACAGTAGCCAGCAGTTGCAGCAGCGACCGGCAGCAGGAAGGTCAGCCACCAGCAGCTGCAGCGGTACACTGAAAGCCACACGGCGGTAGGAACGCTCCACATCTGCAGCAGCACGTAGACTTGTACCGCAGCGATGCTGCTACTGCTGTCTGCTGCCCGTTGCCCTGCTGCTGCTAGCATTCACCAAAGACCCCTGAACGTACTAAGGTCGCATGCAGCAGATGAGCTGCCGCAGCTATATTAATTAGCGGGATTTGCTCCTCTGTTGTTCACAAGGGACTGCCTTGCCTGTCTGTTGCCTGATACAGGATCTGCTGCTCCTGTCGCTCTATTTGCTGCTGAAACGGCAGCCAAGTTCGAACTAAACCTGAGGCTAATGCCGTTAGCTGCAGCAGCAACTGGCGAGTTGCTCGCTGCAGCAGCAACTCGCGCTGCTGCCTCTGCAACGTGTCACTGAAGGCCCCCAAATCTTCTGTGCTGCAACTGTGCTTTCTATTGCTGCTTCTATCAACAGATACTAGACTACATACTGAGGCCTGGAGCTAACAGTACCCAGCTGCAGTGCCGCGAGCTGCTGCTGCTGGTGCTGCAGCAGCACGCCAGCGTCAAGAACCGCGTGTCGCTGCACAGAGCCGTTGCTGCATTAGGAAGGTAAAACTACCTGAGGTCTGCTGCTGCAGAGCAGCAGGCGCACGAGGCCGCTGAAGCCAAACGCAGCAGCCTCTGGTGAACTTCAGGCTGCGCTGCTGCCCTAGCAGCAGATAAAACGACAGGCTGCGGCTTCAGACCGAAAAAAGGAAAAGGAGGAGGGAATGGAAACTGCAGCAGAAAACGACTTAGCAGCAAAACCAAACATATTGCAAGCTCGCCCACGGCCACCCGCGGCGAAGTCTCATCTACCCGCATAAGACCCAAACATATTCTGGTGGCCTCCGGCGCTGCCCCCGTGCACTGGGGGGATTCGCAGCTGCTGCTGCAGCAGCGCTGCAGCATGCGGGGCCCTGTACCCTGCTGCCTGTGCATGTGCCTGCTGCGGCGCCGCAGCCGCGCCGAGATGCAGCTGCTGCAGCTGCTGCAGCTGCTGCAGCTGCTGCAGGGGCGCCGCCCCCCCAACAGCAGCAAGAGGCATGTGCTGCTGCCGGGGAAGGCGAGAAGCATCCAAGAAGGGCTGCTGCAGCCCGTAAGGGTTGTGCGCGTAGGGGTGCTGCTGCACCTGCTGCGGCTGCCTGTAGGGAGGCAGATAAGCTTGTTGCGGGTGCTGCTGGAGTAGAGTTGGGGCCGCACCTGCTGCTGCACAGGCTGCACCTGTGACTCCTCCGTACCTAGAAGGCGATGCGTGGTGCTGCTGTTGCTGCTGCTGCTGCCGGCTGTAAACAGGAACGCCCATGTGCTGCCCGCCGTCCGCAGCGTGCGCCTGGAGTGGGTCCATACGGCTGCAGCAGCAAGACACGCGCAGCAGCAAGTGGCAGCAGCAGTGCTGCAGGAGCAGCGGGGCGGAAGAATCCCACAAATTGCCGTGTCGGCTGCATGCAGCAGGTGATGGCACTGCTGGAGCAACAGCAGCAGCAGCGGCAGCAGCAGCAGCAGCGGCAGCAGCGGCAGCAGTACGGCGCCCAAGGGCTCTGCTGCCCCGCCGCCCGCGCTTGCTCCATACCAGCCCCTTTGCTGCCGCTTATTAATTTTAGAGCAAGAAATGAAGGGGGGAATCGACATACATGGCAGACAGAACCCCTGAGAGACTCATATACCAAAGATCTAATGATGCTATACGACTGCCGCTGCGCTGCCGCTGCTGCTGCTGCTGCTGCTGCGGCTGCTGCTAAAGGGGCACTACACAGCGCAGCACTAAGTGCTTACTAAGCTCTGTGGTGCGGCGCCAAGGGCTGGCCGAGCGACGGGTCACTGCTGTTGACAGCAGCGCCTGCACGACACACAACACAACCTCTAGCTCCCCCTG